TAAAACAACTTTTAACGTTATTTTTCCAATCGGACAGTTGATGCATTACACGATTTTACTTGGCATGAGTTGAGCGCGGCTAATGTGATTGATTCTTTGAAACAGATATATTGCTGGGAATGGGTTTTGCATTGTCGGTGCTCATACAGATAGTCCCTGCTTAAAGCTAAAACCTATCACAAAGGTAGTTAAATGATATTTTGTTTAAAAGACTAGTTTATCTGGAATTAAGCTAATGTGATGTTCGTTTCTTTAGGTTAAAAAAGGTGGCTATCTTGAGGTTGGTGTGCAAACTTATGGTGGTGGCCTGTGGCACACGTGGTTCGATCGTGACCTGGCAATCGCTGGAAGAGTGATAGTTAGGGAGAAGAAAGATGGGTTTGAGTCATTCTCTCACCGGCTTGTAAGAATCGAGGAGCCTATTATGAGGGTGCCGACTCTGGCTATCCACTTGGACAGGTTCCCTTTTTCGGAAAAATCGTACGTTGATTGTTTGATGTGTATGGTTGTATTTATTTAATTTTGTTGTATTGTTACTGATTTGATTGGATAGGGAGGTAAATGATGGTTTTAAGGTTAACAAACAGACTCATCTTGCTCCCGTGTTGGCTACTTCAGTAAAGGTACTTTCAAGAATGACTTGCGTTGTGTGTTTGTTTTCTTTTTCTTTCTTTTTTTCTTTCTTTATTTAGTGCTGCTCTTTTATGCATTGTTCAAGACTATAAGGAGGAGTGTTGTGCTATAAGGGCTTTATATTGATATAGATAGTATTTTCATTCTTATATTCTTACAATTTGTTACACCTGTTGTGCAGGCTGAGCTGAATAAACAAGCTGCCTCGAATGGTTCCACTGAAAGTGGGGCAAGTGCGGGCAAGAAAGCTGATGGAAAGTCGAATACAAACCAAAAACACCATCCCCTTCTTCTGCAGGTAAACAAGCTGCCTCGAATAGTTTTTTTATTTTGCCTTTTGAGTTTACCAAAAAAAAAAATCCTTTTGTGCTCTCCATATCCTTGTTTTTTTTTTTTTTTTTCTAAAAATTTTTTTCCCTTTGTAATTTCAGCTGATTGCCAGTCAACTTCGGTGCGAACCAGATGCAATATGTGATTTCGAGTTGCAAGCATGTGATACCCAGAAAAGTGTCATCGGTGGGGCCTTGAAGGAGTTTGTTTTATCTGGAAGATTGGATAACCTCTGCATGTCTTTTTGCTCTTTGAAGGTGTGTCTTTGTGTTTAGGTTGCCACACAAAGTATCTTTTGAATTCTCCTTAAATTTTTTTATTTTTTTTGCTATCAGACGAAACATACTACTAATGCTTAGCCGTTTATGTCACATAATATGTGCAACATGGTCAAAGAGGCATCATTTTACATTATACGACATTCTCTTTTTGCGTTTCTGTTTTCTTGCAAGTAGTCGGTAGTCACAACGAAATCTCGAGTGCATGAATCAAATTAGTATGACACATATGATAGGAAGTTTGACTTGCTCTTTGGCTGAAATCCCTTTAAAGGCATGTAATGTCTAAAATTCCCTCGGTTCATATTTGATAATTGTTATTCTTCTCTTCAGGCACTGATAGATTCGACTTCCACCGAGAGGAGTCTTGAGGACGAGAGCGGGATTAGAATGGTGGCTTTATTTGATCATGAAGAGGTTGGATCTGACTCAGCACAAGGAGCCGGGTCCCCGGTTATGTTGGATGCCTTATCGCGAATCACTTCTTCGTTCAGTTCAGATACAAAGGTGCAGGCAAATCTTTTTGTGTGGCTTTATTGTTGTAATTTCTGAGAGAACTTAAATTAGCCTTTAAAATAGCTAAGTAATTATCTTTATGCCCCTAAAATGCTACAAAATGATAATAATGACCGGACGAAAATTGATTTGTTGGGTACGAGCCGAAACAAACAAACCCCATATAGATGTAACTATATTTAAAATACATCACATTACCTATCTGGACCAAACATAAAAAGGCATTCACATAGAAATTCAACCGGTTTATCTTTAACTTTTGTTCTTTGAATAGTTTTACGTATTTGTTTTGTTGACTTTCTTCTTTTCTAAAAATAAAAATAAAAAATGTGATTCGTACAAAGTTGCTGCCAAAAGCAATTCAGAGGAGTTATCTAGTATCAGCTGACATGGCTCATGCCTTGCATCCGAATTATATGGTATGTAATAATTTTGCCTTCTCTATAAAATCTCCCTACTTCAGAATTGCAAATAAGTGTTATGTTATCAAGGTCGATTAATATATTTTTCCACTTTAACCAGGACAAACATGAAGAAAACCATCAGCCTAAGATGCACGGTGGGCTCGTCATTAAACACAACGCGAACCAAAGATATGCAACAAATGCAGTAACTTCTTTCTTGTTCAGAGAGATTGCAGCCAAGCACAACCTTCCTGTACAGGTCAGATAAGCACTTAGTTTTCAGTAGATTAATTTATGCGTAAATTACAAAATTGCTCTATGTGGGTCTCACTCAATGTGAGTGTTATGTACACCTCTATGTACAATATTATGTACTTATAGCATTACTCTTTATGGTTGGAAAACGCTACAAGTACATAAAAAACGTACATAGAGGTGTACATAACACTCACATGGAGTGGGGTCCACTTGATTTTTTATTTTTGGTGGGTCGTTATGTACACCTCTATGTACAATATTATGTACTTATAGCATTACTTTTTATGGTTCAAATCAATTACTCATGAACAAAAAAAATTATAAAAAAGGAAAAAAATACATTTAAAACTATAAAATCTTATGTCTATTCTACAATACATGATTGAGGTGGATTTTGTAGTTATGAAATTAACCTCCATTTAAAGGGAAAAAAAATAAAACAATCTTTTTTCGGACTGTTGAACTCGATAGGATTTTGTGGTTCGCAATGACATGGCTTGTGGTTCGACAATCGGGCCCATATTGGCGAGTGGTGTGGGCATTCGAACTGTTGATGTTGGGGCCCCACAACTGTCGATGCATAGCATAAGAGAAATGTGTGCGGTTGATGATGTGGAGCATTCTTACGAGCACTTCAAGGCATTCTTCCAAGACTTCTCAAATTTGGATGCTAAACTCACCGTGGACATTTAGCTTCTTTTGTTAGATTTGCCGAGTGTGTGCTGAATATCGAGTCTTAGCTTCGGATGATCTTTAGTGGTTTTTTTTTTTTT